CGCCGTCGGCGTCAGCGCACAGGTTGGGTCTTCGGGGATCGTCAGTCCCGACGGGGTGAACACCCAGTTCTCCCACGACTTCGCCAACGACGTCGTGCTGGTTGGACCCGCTGGCATCGTCACAAAGTCTGGCGCCAACCGCCAGCTGACCCACGGAGAGGCCACCCTTCACGTTGCCACAGCACCTGCTCCCCTCCCCGTGGCTCAGCTGGTGTCCCAGCGTGGCGTGGTTGGCCACTCTGGCATCGTTCGCCCTGATGGCAACAACGTCCAGTTCACACACGAGCAGGCTAACAACATCGTGCTGGTTGGCCCATCTGGCATCGTCACCAAGGACGGCTCCAACATCCAGCTGACCGACGACCTCCACTTCGTCCAGAAGCGTGACACCTATGGCCATCTGGTGGGAGCCTCAGGAATCGTCACCAGTGACGGCCAGCTGATCCAGTTCGAACCTGGTGTAACTGTTGCCTCCGCTGGACCCTCTGGAGTCGTTCTGTCCAATGGAAAGAACATCCAGCTGTCCGGCAGACGTAAGCGTGACACCTATGGCCATCTTGTGGGAGCCTCAGGAATCGTCACCAGTGACGGCCAGCTGATCCAGTTCGAACCTGGTGTAACTGTTGCCGCCGCTGGACCCTCTGGCGTCGTTCTGTCCAATGGAAAGAACATCCAGCTGTCCGGCAGGCGTAAGCGCGATCTCTCCGGCCATCTTGTGGGAGACTCAGGAATCATCACCAATGACGGTCAGGTGATCCAGCTGGAACCTGGTGTCACGATTGTCCAGGTTGCTCCTTCTGGTATCATTCTGTCCAACGGAAAGAACATCCAGCTGACCGGCAAGCTCCACTCCGTGCATAAGCGTGACACCTATGGCCATCTGGTGGGAGCCTCAGGAATCGTCACCAGCGACGGCCAGCTGATCCAGTTCGAACCTGGCGTGACTGTCGCCGCCGCTGGACCCTCTGGCGTCGTTCTGTCCAACGGAAAGAACATCCAGCTTACCCTCTAAATTATTCTTTCCATTCTAATCTCAATCAAAAATGGAAACCATCCAACCATGATCTGATGGTGAATTTGATAAATTTATATTTTGCCAAATAAAGGTTTATAAATAATAACACGCAGATTTATTCTCCGTCATTGCGCAAATGGCTAATGATATTATTACCACTAACTGTTTAACAGTCACCACTATGTTCTCCTTATGCACACACAGACATGGCTAACACACGTACAAATATATATATATATATATATATATATATATATATATATATATATATATATATATATATATATATATATATTATATATATATATTAACATTCAAGCATCATTACGTAATATATATATATATATATATATATATATATATATATATATATATATATATATATGCATATTATATTATATATATATATATATATATATATATATATATATATGTGTGTGTGTGTGTGTGTGTGTGTGTGTGTGTGTGTGTGTGTGTGTCATATATGTAGATACATATAGATACATACTCAAACACTCATATATATGTTTATATATATATATATATATATATATATATATATATATATATATATATATATATGTATATATATGTATGTATATGTATATGTATGTATGTATATATGTATATATTGTGTATGTATATATGTGTGTGTACACACACACACACAGAAACACATGCACATACATATGTATATATACATATATATGTATATATATACTCACACGTAGATATATGTATATGTATGTATGAGTATGTATAGATGAATCTACATATCATATGTGCTGGATATTCAAAGATAATTAGTAAATATACAGGAAAAGGGAGGGTATACAGCCAATCTGTCATGAGGCCTTGGACTCCTGAAAGTGAGGCTTCCTTTTCATGGTTGGATTAAGTAAAGTAAAGATGATGCGTTAATGAACCGTATTCATGTTGAGAAATGTCATGTATTTCTGACGAAGACATATCTGAAACCGGTCAAATGTATCTCTTGTTTTGTGAAAATATTCATTTTCATTCAAACTTTTCACATATTTATGTTGGGTTAAGATTAGTTACGTACAATGTTAGGTTAAGTTATCAAAGAAAGTGTGGATCCTAACTCAGCTTTAAAGGTCAGTACTGAAGACAAGATACAGATAATATATTGAGAGGATGTATATTTTCTAATGTCTCATTATCCAGGAAGAAGAGAAATAGTCATTATCATTTTTTGTATTCTAATTTTTATTGCTTTGAGCTTAGTAATCGCTTCATACCAGAGTATACTGCGAATTCTGCAAAATTTACTTTTTTCCTTAAAATATATAAACAGCTGTCGCCATGACACTGCAGTACGCAAGGTAATGATTTATTCAGACAAATTTGACCTTGACATTTGCAAATCTAAATAGTTTTTATAAGATCTTAGGATTCATTTACTTATCCAGTGTATCCAACTCATTTTCCTCATGCGGCTGAGTGTGAGGAAAGAGGTTAATGAGATAAGCAATGAAAGGACAGTTCAGAATCCTTTATTCCACTCTTTTACACTTACTGCACTCCTATGAACGTAATGCTAAGATAAGAAATGGCCAGTAAATATGTCGCTTTCATATGTAGTATTTGGTTATCAATAACAGTGTATTCAATGCTTATTATATTACGACTGTTATTAATACACCTTAAAACGAATCCATATTTTCAAACTGCTGCTAATTATCAGGCGAATGTAATATAGGAAAGTAAATCTGATTTAATCATCTCATTACTATCTGATTCATCTATTTCTAATTTAATTCACTAGATATTGCATTATTACATTATAATATCTTTTCACCGGTTTGGGGGTGTCCTAAAAGGGAAGTGAAAAAGGTGAAACTTTATGCCTACCCAGGTTTCCACGCATGTTGGCTGTTCACCTCAAAATTATTGAAAAGATTTCATAGTCTTACAGCCTAAGCTACACATACACATGTATATATATATATATGTCTGTCTTTCCTCCCTCAAACACCTATTTTCAACTCCGTGTGTTATGTATTCTATTTAATGAATAACTATCTAGTTTCACGAATAAAGTCTTTGAATATACACTCCTCATACTTCCGTTCGGATTTCCCGTGAAATTGAAAATAAAATAATTCAAAACCATTCCCAAATCAAGCAAACTCTATTAGCGCATCTCAGGCGATGAGGCCACTGATCTCTGGAAATCACTTTCTTGCCACGAGACGCAAGGCTACCAGCATCCGACGGCCGACGGGGTTCTGCCAGACCAGGAGACCGCTAACCCACAGTATAAAAGGACGTATCATTATGGGTTGATTATCATTCGGACTCGCAGAAGCCCGGGTTGGAGTTCTGTGACCGACGAGCTAGATCATCATGAGAGTTTTGGTGAGGGTTTGTTCAAGATTTGTTTATCGGTAATTATACTGTGCTTGTTCAAATGATTTAAAGTGATTGGTGAAGGATTGGGTAATCTTTGATCGATAGTCGAGATCAGTATGGAAGTTTGACGAGACTTCCTTTGTTTGATTTTATACTGTCACATTTTCCCCTCGAAAATGAGTGTCCATCATTTCATTGAAACAAAATCATATCAAAGGCAGCGGCGTGCTCGCCGTCGGCGTCAGTGCACAGGTTGGGCCTTCGGGGATCGTCAGTCCCGACGGGGTGAACACCCAGTTCTCCCACGACTTCGCCAACGACGTCGTGCTGGTTGGACCCGCTGGCATCGTCACAAAGTCTGGCGCCAACCGCCAGCTGACCCACGGAGAGGCCACCCTTCACGTTGCCACAGCACCTGCTCCCCTCCCCGTGGCTCAGCTGGTGTCCCAGCGTGGCGTGGTTGGCCACTCTGGCATCGTTCGCCCTGATGGCAACAACGTCCAGTTCACACACGAGCAGGCTAACAACATCGTGCTGGTTGGCCCATCTGGCATCGTCACCAAGGACGGCTCCAACATCCAGCTGACCGACGACCTCCACTTCGTCCAGAAGCGTGACACCTATGGCCATCTGGTGGGAGCCTCAGGAATCGTCACCAGTGACGGCCAGCTGATCCAGTTCGAACCTGGCGTGACTGTCGCCGCCGCTGGTACCTATGACGGTCAGGTGATCCAGCTGGAACCTGGTGTCACGATTGTCCAGGTTGCTCCTTCTGGTATCATTCTGTCCAACGGAAAGAACATCCAGCTGACCGGCAAGCTCCACTCCGTGCATAAGCGTGACACCTATGGCCATCTGGTGGGAGCCTCAGGAATCGTCACCAGCGACGGCCAGCTGATCCAGTTCGAACCTGGCGTGACTGTCGCCGCCGCTGGACCCTCTGGCGTCGTTCTGTCCAACGGGAAGAACATCCAGCTCACCCTATAATATTGTATATACAGACTTCCAATAAACCATTATATGAAATTTACATATTGTTAAGTTAATTAGGTGTCATCCCTGAATATGCCTCCTTTACACGAAGACAGTTGTACGTAAATCGAATAGGTAAAAAGAAAAAATATGCCCGATTGAGGTAAATCATAAAGAATTCGTCACTTTGTCTGCCTTCTGTACAATCTGGCTACATATAGTCGTAAGCGTGAAAACACTGAAACGGCATACACACACACACATATATATTCACATGTGTGTGTGTTTGTTTGTATATATATATTTATCTATATATACAAACATAAACACATATATGGATATATACCCTTACACACACACACACACATATGTATATATATCCCTATATGTATAATATATATATATAAATACATTCATATATTACACATATATATGTATGTATATGTGTGTGTGTGTGTGTGTGTAAGGATTTATATTCATATATGTGCATATCTTCTTTGTTTAAAGATAAGTATATATTTTTATAAAATATATATATATATATATATATATATATATATTATTTAAATATGTATATATACATATATGTATAAATATATGTATATATGTACACACATTCATACATTGCATATATATA